TCTAGAACCTGTGGAAGGGCAGCTGGAGGCGATGTGACCAAGGCCTCCACAGTTGAAGCAGTTAAAGACTCCTTTACGTTCTGGAAACCTAAAGGCTTCTCTGTTACGAAAGGATTGAAAGCTTCTATCATATCTCCTTTTACTCTTATAACTTTCATCTCTTTCTGAATCAGACGAAGGTAAAGAATATCTTTTCTTCTTATGCCTATATAACTTACTAGACTTATTCCAATTAAAATAGCGTAAGATCGCACCTAAATGGCTAAATAATGGAATACGATTCTTGTATTTTTCCATCATTTTGTCATTACTTCTGACTATCTGTAATGCTGTACCCCAACCCTTATTATCCGCCAAACTTAGTGTAGCTGCCTGGGCTTCGATTTCATCTCTAATACCATCAAAGTCTTTTTTATTAGCCATTGGTACTACTTTTATTGCTTTGTCCAAACATTTGCCAATTTTTACCAAGAAATCATATTTGTATTGATCCCATGGCTTTGACAAGCTAACCTTGGGCCATGCTTTATCCAATAAATCACACTCCTATATTTCTCTATATAAAGCAGAAAAATTTCTTTCTATCTTTATTTCAATTTTACCTATTGCCAACAGAAACATATCAACTTTTATTTGTTCTGCCTTTTTTCTTCCTTGGGAATAACCTACTAACTCATCTTTAATCCTATTGTCTGCTTCCTGTGAATATGCACGCATGTCATCCAACTCAAGGTTAGCATCACTTCCATTATCCCAATCTCTTTCATCTGCATCATTTCTAGGTACTTCGATAATGTTATCCAAATCTTCATCATCCCCTACTCCACTCTTGTCTGTAGCTTTTCCTTTATTCTTCCCGAAATATGCCTGGAGCCTATCACTAAGGTCCTTCTTATTTCCTACACTAGATAAACTGCATGACATACACAAGCCTTTTAATGCATTTAACGTCAACTTAGACCAGCCTATACCTGACATATGGGAGTACCAAAATTTATCACAGAAAAA